ATGTCTTTCTCATAGTTCTGGAGGCTGGAAAGTCCAGGGTCAAAGTGTTGATAGATTTGGTGCCTGGTGAGGGCCTGCACCCTGGTTCAGAGATGGCATCTTGTCACTGTGTCTTCACACGGTGGAAGGGGCCAGGGAGCCCTCCAGGGCCTCTTCTGTAGTGGCACTAATCCTATTCGTGGGGCCTCCACCCTCCTGATTTAATCACCTCCCAAACCCTCCCCCCAATCCTACTACCATTACCTTGGGAGTTAGGATTTCAACACAAAAATTTCAGGGTGAGGACACAAACATTTAGCCCGTAATGACAGAATTTTGAACATTCATAAAATGTTTCTGAGACTCCCTGCTAAAGTGTCCACCAGAACAGTGGTGCCAATTTATGCTCCTACCAGAAAAGACTATAAAAGTTTTACACCTGGGTCAGTATTAAGTATTATTTTTTTCTCCAAAACTTTTGTCAGATTGCCATGTGATTATAAAATCTTATTCTGTTGTCCACTTCTTTGATAATTGATGCAATAATCTGCCTTCATATATTTGATGGACATTTAAATTTCTCCTCTTGTGAGTCATCTCTTCAAACCATTCACCTATTTTTCTATTGTGCTTATCTCTTTCTTACTGATTTGTAAGAACTCCCTATATATAAAGGATATTCTCTTTTGTCTATGTAAGAGTGAAAACATTGACATTTCCCTATGGCTAAAAGGGAAAATGACTCCCTGTCTCTTTATTTTTTTCAGAACATTTTCTAGAAAAAAAAAATTAGTATTTATAAATCCTACCCCTGTCCCTTTAATATACATGTAAATCTTTTTAAAGGCTAAACAAATTTCTTGTGGGCCTTATAACCCATAAATGTTTTTCTTAAGGGCCTGAGAAGCATTTCTTGGAAATATAAACATTAAGGAAGATAGTGCCCCATTTTCTGGTTCCCATGGGAGCTTGTTATAAGCTTTGACTGATACTTGTCATAGAGATAAGAGAAATTTTATTTTCTTTCAAATAAAGGCAATTAACCATCACAGATGTCTACTCCAATTACCAGGTGAATATTAAGCAAATGGCTGTTGTCAAGTTATGTTACATAAGGACAGTTTATCATTATTCCTGGGAATATGTATGTGATAGATTGCATCTACTTGGCTATATTAACAAGGCAGATTACTTTCTGGTTTGTAATCTCATTAGCACCCAGGAATTCACAATGAGCCTGACCATAGTAGGAGACCCCGTCTCCACAAAAAGTTTTTTAAAACTTAACCAGGTGGGGTGGTGTGTACCTGTAGTCCCAGCTACTGAGGAGGCTGAGGCAGGAAGATTGCTTAAGCCTTGCTGATCAAGGCTGCAATGAGCCGTGACCATGCCACTGCACTCCAGCCTAGGTTATAGAGCAAGACTGTCTCAAAAAAAAAAATGCCCAGAAAACATGTAAAGCACTTAGAACAATGCCTGATACCAGTAGGCACTCAAAATTATTAATTAATACTATCATAAAATCTCATTATTGCTAGTATATTTAATATGGGATTTTTTTTTTTTTTTTTTTTTTTTGAGATGGAGTCTCACACTGTCGCCGGGGCTGGAGTCCAGTGGCACGATTTTGGCTCACTGCAACCTCCGCCTGCTGGGTTCAAGCAATTCTCCTGCCTCAGCCTCCCGAGTAGCTAGGATTACAGGCATCTGCCACCACACCCAGCTAATTGTTTTGTACTTTTAGTAGAGATGGCGTTTCACCATGTTGGCCAGGCTGGTCTCGAACTCCTGATCTTGTGATTTTCCCACCTTGGCCTCCCAAAGTGCTGGGATTATAGGCATGAGCCACTGCACCCAGCTGGGAATATTTTTTTTCTCCTGGAATAGCTGTTCTTAAACCAATGTCAGCATTATAATTGTTAGCATGTTAGAACAAAGAAATGGTGCTTATTTTGTGAACCTGTGAGCCTCAGTTTCTTCATCTGTTAATTCCTCACAGACTTATTATGTGAATGTGAACATTGAGGTACATGGTATATTAGTTTGCTGCGGTTGGTTTAATGATGTACCACAAGCTAGGCTGTTGATGGCTGTTGTGAGACTTCAGCTCTTGTCCTCTTAGTTTAAAGGAATGTAAACAGAGACACATGGCAAAAGAAGTACAGCATAAAGTAGTTAATTGGAAAGGAAAAAGAATATTCCGAAAGTTAGGTGCAGAATAGACAGCACACCCTGTGAGAGAAAGAATTCAGAGCAGTCCGCTCATAAAGATGAGAGAGCAAAGACTGGCTCTAGGGAGACAGTCCTTTATGGATTATTCACAAGGAGATGGAAACAGGTGTAACTTGTAAGCATGTTCTGGGTGGTCCTTGGGGTGCACATTCGCAGTGACTGTACATGCTTGTTAATACATTGCATGTCTCATCAACATCTTAAATATCCATGCAAGGATGTGTTTTTTACTATTATAATGAGCAAAGGGTCAGTTTGAGGACAAATAATATCAAAATGTTCATGCTTTCCAGAAGGGAAAGTCCCTACTGAAGATAGCTTTGCTTGAATGAGCTCGATTACAGTGCAAATGATGAGGCTTATTGTGTTGACTGTACGGTCACTACATGCCAAGGACACAGTCACTTCTTTGACTACCTGTCCTGCCTCAGGATGACTTACACAAGAAAAAATTATTGTCTCCTAGTTCTGGAGGATGGAAGTCTCAGATCAAGGTGTCAGCAGGGTTAATTCTTTCTGAGGGCTGTGAGGGTAGGATCTGTCATTGATTTGTAGGTGGCAGTCTTCATGTACACATGGAGTTCTCCTTTATGGCTGTCTGTGTCCAAATTTTCCCCTTTTATAAGGACCCCAATTATACTGGGTTAGGTCCTACCCTAATGACCTTATCTTAACTTGATCATCTCTTTAAAAGCCCTATTTTCAAATAAGACCCCATTTTGAGGTACTGTGGGTTGGGACTTCAACATATGAATGTGGAGGTTGGATACACAGTTCAGTTCATAACACACAGCAAAGTCCTCTGCTTGTGGATGATGACAGCTGTACCCAAGTGGAGTCATTTCCAGAGGACAATCCTCATGTCCTATAAACAGAAGACTTGGAAATATTCCCAATTCAATTTTAAAAAGGTTTCATTTTGACTAGAGGAAATGGCCTTTGCTAGAGAAACAGTCATTTAAATTAAGTTCCTTTCTTCACCTTGTCTTTCTGCATCTGTTAACTAAGAATAAAATACCACACATGTGAACACTACATAAAATTTAGAGGAATTTGGACATCTTTTAGGCTAACACTCTTATTAAACCTTTATGTATCCAGGAAAATTGTCTAGTTTTTAGCATGATTAATGTTAAATCTACATGTCTGTGTAGATTTTTCTCATTTTGATAACAGTGCTTGAATTCAAATTACCAACACCAGAGCAAGGATGAATGGGGAAACAATACAATCAATAGACGTTTTTCTTCTAAAGACAGCTGTAAATCACATAAAGGTCTTCATGGTAATTATGCCCTGTGGTAATGGAACTCTACAAAAATCCCATCAATTTTACAGCTTTCTGGTGTCTGCCCCATGGCTTAACATATGAATTATTGGGGAGCTTGTGTGGAGAATTAGTCATGAGCATGGATAGAAAAAGAAAAATCTGTAGGTAGGCAGGGGAAATCTGCAAAACATTTTGTTTACTTGTACAAGGGAGGATGTTGGTGGGACCACTCCTAATCCTCCTTTTCATCCTCCTGTTCTACCTGCCCTTCCTCCCAAGATTAATTTGGGATGTGTACTCACAACATAAAAGAATGCAAATGAAAAGTTCACAGGGTCAGGGAAAAAAGTGAAAAATAGCCAAGGGACACAATGGAATGCAATGAAAAGTCTGAGTGTCAGAGGAGATGTGGGTTCATATTTCTTCACTTTGAAGGACCTGAGCTCAAGATCATACTGTTGTTTCATCTGAAGTCAGATAAACCTAGGTTTCAATTCTATTCCTTTCACTAATAGACTTTGAAGAGTCACTTGAATAGTCACTGAGCCCAGGGACGAGTAATGCCCACCCTGCAGATATACTATGATGACTGACACATTCAGAGAGATGTGACAGCAACCAATAAATGTCCAATCTGAATGTCTGATTCATTATCGGGCAAGTAAGGGATACTAATAACAAAGGCAAAATAGTAGCCAATGATGATGGCCAACAACTCCAACACAGGAGCTGGCTTAAGGCCTCATGATCTGCTCAATAATTTGCAACTAAAAGTCTCAGCTGGCCACAGAGCAGGGCTTTGCTACATGGTTGGACTTCTACGTTTTCCCTGCCTCCCTACTTGGCCAATGCTTGGTAAGAAACAAATGAATCAATAAAATAATGTCATAAACTATGGCAAGAAAACTGTGCTGTGCTTCTTTTAGTTGGGTAGATACAGGGTTTGGTTTCTTTCAAGGGTGATGGAATGGAAGCAAATGTCAAGAACCTGAAAGGAAATAGCAGAGTTAGAAAGTGAGTCTATCCACAGAAGCTAGAATAAGGACTTTCAACAGCAATTTGCAAAGACATTTTCCCCTGTTTAGATTTGCCAGGAAGCAGATTAATAGAAAAAGCTCTCAAGTAATGGATCAACAGTTAATTCATTATTTGAATGTTATCCACACAGGCAAAAAGCTATAATATAACTTTAATCACTAACTACCCTGTGGTTTCTTTAAAGAAAGTTCTTGTTTTGCTGGTTCCACAGCCGCCTGGGAAAAAGGACTGTGAGTGTGGGAGGTGACTATTTCACCATACACTTAATTCTGTGCGGATACAGAAAGTGGGTAGGCTGGAAATGAAAATTCTGTCATTGTCATCTTCTTAAAGACTAAGCTAAGTGGAGGGGGTAGAAGTCATTTGGATGGCTGCTGATACAGAAAATGCAATCTCTAAAATAATATAACATTAAACACGTTAAATAAACAATGCACTTTCTTCAACACATTTTATTTCATCTTTGATTATTTGCATTCCAGTTTATTCTGCATGATATAACCTTTATTTCTCAGTTTTTTTTTCTTGTAGGCAATTTATACTTGACTCTGCTAGTTATTGCACTGGCAGTTATTCATCCTGGAAACCAGCACCCTGGAGGTGCTATTAACATTTTTGTCTTAAATATATCCATTTCAAAAACATGGGATGAGTTTGTATCGTGTTCAGAAGACTATGCCATAATGAAAGCAGTAGAGATGGCTGAGACACAGTTCATATCCACTAGGATATCAAGCATCATTCCAGGGGAAGATAAGATTACTCACAATGGTGCAGGGAGAGGGTGTCTGGAATGGTTCTTGAAGAAATGGTGCTTGCATTGAAGTTTGGAGAATGGATAAAGCTGAGTGAGTCATTCTAGACAGAAGAAGCAGATTGAACAAAAACTAAGAAGTGAGAAGGGCTGATAGATGAAACAATTTAAGCCATCTTGCTAATGAATCAGCATCACCTTTTGAGATCTTCGGTGAAACTGCTGTAATAAGACAATCAACAAGAAAAAAACAAACAAGTTATTAACATGTATATCTCATATGTATATAGGAGACAGGGAATGAGTGGTTCTCAAACAGGTGGCTTAGAACCCTGGCTTATATAACATCTTCACAAAGAACAATACATTTTTGAAGAAATTAGAGGACAAAAGAAAAGGATCTTGAAACTTTTAAGGCAGCAAATTGTGCAAAGGCAAATATGGTGGATAAAGGTTAGTTAGTAAAGTTTGTTTTGTAAATTCCTCTGGTACTGGTTTTCAGGCTAAGAACCTAAGTCATCTCCATTGAGAAACCTTTGTCCTTCTTGGTAAAGGGGAAAGGAGGATACCTTTACAAATTTAGGTCCTGTTTTTTTAGGCAAATAAGAGCAGAGCAGAGAGCTTTTCTTGTATCTACTTCTCAATTGCCTTCAGCTCAAAATAATCCTCACACCAAAGTGGCATATTCTGCTTTCAAGTGCTATCATATTATTTTGATTAAAACACACACACACACACACACACACACACCCCTTAAACAACCATATACAAAATATAACAAAAACTTCAACTGGGGTGAGTGACTGCCCATACTGGTCAAATAACTACATGCAGTCAACATGATATATACAATTACAAGGTCATATGCAAATGTAAAGCATTTTCATTATCTTTAATCTGTTCTCACATAGGGCTACTCCTGACATCTTTTTTTTTTTTCTTGAGATGGAGTCTCGCTCTGTCGCCCAGGCTAGAGTGTAGTGGCGTGATCTTGGCTCACTGCAACCTCCACCTCCCGGGTTCAAGCAATTCTCTGTCTCAGCCTCCCAAGTAGCTGGGATTACAGGTGCCCACCATCACACCTGGCTAATTTTTTGTATTTTTTATAGAGACAGGGTTTCATGATCTTGGCTAGGCTGGTCTTGAACTCCCAAACTCGTGATCCACCCGCCTGACATCTTTTAGAGAGATTTCTACACTGGGCTGGCTCTGAAACAAACTACATACAAAAAATGTTGACACTGCCTACTTCCGGTTTTAGGTTTCTGGAATTCCTCCTCACTTACAAAGTTTTACCCTTTTAGACCTCTGGGATTTCTCCCCACTTTTACAAGGATGGTGTATGTAAGAGTTAGCAAAATGTTCCCTATTCAGGTTCCAAAGGCTCTTTTGCCCCAGGACAGAAGCGAGAGAATCCGAAGAGTATCCTGGGGGTACTGGCTGGAAAACAGCTAGTTTAGCCAGTGGAATGGGATAGGGAAGAAGAGGAAAGACATACTATTAGACTTGTTCTTGTAGAACCAAAATCTTCACCATTCTACATAACATAGGAATTATGTATTTTTCTAGCCTATAATTCTCAAACATAAATTTGATATGTTACTTTCACTAAGAACCAGCTTATTTCCTGGTGATTGTCAGCTATATTTACATACATATGAGAAGAATTAGAAAAATATAAAATAATTTGAGACTCAACTAAGAATAAGATAGCCCATTTTCTCTTATTTGGTCTATAGACAATATACACTATTACCATTTTCTTTTTATTGCCTTAAATTCAGCTGTAACAGGCCAATAGATCAATAAATGTCATTTTCTTATTTGGCTAAAATCACAAAGTGAATACAAATTTCAGCCTTCCAGGCACAGAAGTGTACTAAATATCAAAGCATTAGGCATCCCATAGTATTAACAGCCAGATAAGATAGTATTACATTCCATTACAAGAAATGATGCTCATTTTTCTTTTCTTATGAACAATTTTCTTTAGAATTTTTTTTACTTTAAAATTTTAATGTAAGTGAGAATTACTATAAATGAAGCAATGAGATTAACAGCAGAAACAACTCTTACCATGTTCATCTGTCTTAGACACAACTGAAAGGGGCATTAAAGATTGTCGGTCCAGGGCAGGGCGTGGTGGCTCACACCCATAATCCCAGCACTTTGGGAGGCGGAGGCTGGCAGATTATCTGAGGTCAGGAGTTCGAGACAAGCCTGGTCAACATGGTGAAACCCGTCTCTACTAAAAATACAAAAATTATCCAGGTGTGGCCATCCATGCCTGTAATTCCAGCGACTTGGGAGGCTGAGGCTAGAGAATCACTTGAATCCAGGAGGCAGAGGTTGCAGTGAGCTGAGATTATGCCACTGCACTCCAGCCTGGGTGACAGAGCAAAAGCTTGTCTCAAAAAAAATAAATAAATAAAAGAATTTTGGTCCAATCCCTTCCCATCATCTGTCAGAGTATCTGATATCCAAAGACAGGGGTATGTCACAAGGTTACACAGGATATTTTTTAGTGGAGCCCAACTAGAGGTGGGCAAGTGTGAGCTGAGTGTGAAAGGAAAGGCAACCAGAGAGACACAGGTTCAGACAAGTATTTTCAGTGTGTTGCCAATGAAGGGGATGAGTGGTAAGGGAGAGTCAGAGAAGATGTGTTATTATTTTTCATCTATGGGAGACATTGGTCTACTTAATCGCTGAGAAAAGATGACACAGGGAGGAACTGAAGATTCCAAGCAGTGGCACAGGGAGAAGGAACCAGGAAAACTTGGAGGATGTGAATCAGGAGCAGAGGGAAGGAGTTTGCACCAAAAGTCAGACAGAAGTACCTCTTCCCTAGAACAAAGAGACAAGTACCTTGCTGAGCAGACTAGAACAAAAGTGAAACCTGAGGGCGCACGAAGTCAATACTAAAAATAAAAAATCAGCAGCCAGGTCTACGGCTGTGGTCCAAAATCAGAGTCACAAGGTATCAGGAGGAGGGTGGGAGCTGCTAGGTGATGCCAAGAGCCCAAAGTACTCGAAGTCACAGTTTGCATAAGGACATAAATGAGAGAAAGTCAAAGGTATTGAGGAGTTAGGGACTGGGAAGATAGAAACTTGAACACGGCAAAAGATGAAAGAATGGTCTAACCAACACTGCCAAATAGTGTGTTCCTTGCATGGGACTAGAGTTTGTTGGGGGAGGACCACATTTATGGAGCACTTGTCATATGCCAGAGCAAACCTGTGAAGTAAGGACTATGATTATCCCATTTGTACAAATGAGGAAAGTTAAGCACAGGGGGTGTTAAGGCGCTTGTCCCAGCTGATGTTGATAGGCAATGCTGGAAATGAGATCCAAACCTGGTCTGACTCCAGAGTCTCAACTGTGCCAGGATACTGCCTCCCTGGTTCCACTAAGGTCAACTAAGGGGCAGAAGATACCACCTGGCACATGAGAAAAAAAAGTCTCTGTGGTATACATATAGTGCCAAGCAGATAGGTGATCAAATCGGGGTTATTTAATGGAAAGGATTTGCAACAGGAAGACAGTACTAGGGATGACTAGAGCAACATATGAGTTATCCTTGCTTCCAGAGGCTGAACAAGCCAGGGTGTGGAGAGTCAAGGACTGTCAAGCCTGATCGCAGAGAATGTTAATGGGAGGGATGTGTCATCCCTACTCCCACGTGGATGGAGCTCCATCAGCAAAACACTCCCAGCCTCACCCAGGGAAAGTGAGAGTCTTCCCTGATTGAGAGTTTGGAAGAAAAGTAAGGCATTATTTCCATCCTTGTATTCTTTCCTTTTTGAAAAGGAACCTGACTGCAGAGAGAACGTATTGTTGATTACTGTCAGCCCTGCAGAAGTTTACACACAGAAGCCTTGCCTGGTGGTGGAGGGCAGAGTGACCCAGCACTGCCTTGCAGGGGCCCAGGCCCTTGGCCTCCTGAAGGTTCACTGAAAAATCAACTCACAAAAGGCTGATTAAGAAGATAAAAGGTATACACATTTATCTAATGTATATACACGGGAAGCTTCAGAATGAAGATCCAGCCCCGCAGTGGGTACAGAAGCTTATATAGCATCTTGAGGTGACAAAAGAATGGGGGCTTGGATCCTGACAAAATAAGGACGGGAAAGGGGGAGGAGAGGAACCCTGTTGAGGGGCAATATGTGATTACTAGGGAGAATGAAGGGAGGGGGAACTGAGATTAGCTGGTAAATAGTTCTCTTTGGAATTTGAGTCAGAGAGACAGACATTGTCTTATAAAGAATCTGTTCAGGTGTGGTCACATCTGGGTCTGCTTTCCTGCAGTAGATAATGAGATAACAGGAAAGAGGAGAAAAATCAGTTGTTCTCCTTGGTGGTTCTGGAGTTTGGGCAGATAAAGCAACTTCAGAGAACAGCTTTATCCTATGTTTTGGGAGAAACTGTGGAGGCTGGGGGAGGTCTGAGGGACCTTGAGGCTGCTTTAGTTCAGCTTGTCAAAATGCCGTATTTTGGAGTATTGGTTTCTGAGCCCCAACAGCCTCTAACTGGATCAGGAAATACATCCAATTTTGCAGCTAAGTATTTGGAAGCCTACTTGCCTGCAGATCTAAGCTGCATTCACTAATGCCACTTACTCAATAAAAATTCACCTGATATTTTATGCCATTTCTCTGTTGGCTCATAATACTGGTGAAGAATAGAAGTATGATATTATTGTGCCTTCCTCAAGACCTTAAAAGGATAACAAGAGAAAACAGTAGGGAAATAGTGTTTGACCCCGAATACCCTGTAAAATGGCTGAGACCCTAAGGATCCTTCTCACCAGGCAAAGAAAACTGAATGGCTCAGAGAATCTTGGCTGTCATTTAGCTTTGTCTACTGAAGTTTTCTTGTAGTGCTTTTTCTTTATGAACACATGATGTGTCTCCCTGGGGATACAGAGCATCACATTCCAAAACTGCTCTTTTTGTCACTTGTCAGTTAATTTTGACAGAATTCCATTTTCTTGTGCATTAAGGTAAACACACAATAGATTGAGTTTCTTAGTCATCCAAGACAGCAATTACCTGGATCTTCTAACATTCAAGAATCTCAATCCAGTGACCAATGTGTATCCTGGGGTCTTGTATATTCCCTCCAGGAAGGCTATTGTGTCTTCTGAAGTTGAACTGAAGTTGGCATTCCCCGATATGCCAGAGCTGCCAAGATGGTAGATTTCTTAACTCAGGTGAAAAAGATAAAAGGTAGAAGAGAGGGGAATGGCAGTTAGCCGGTGTGTTCATGAGATTTTGTTTGCCATAAGGCAACAAATTAACCCAGCGTTTGAATCATGATTTACATACAATAAAATACAAATCTAAGGCTGGGCGCAGTGGCTCATGTTTGTAACCCCAGCACTTTGGGAGGCCGAGTTGGATGGATCACCTGAGGTCAGGAGTTCGAGACAAGCCTGGACAACATGGTGAAACCCTGCCTCAACTAAAAACACAAAAGGTAGTGGGCATGGTGGCAGGCACCTGTAATCCCAACTACTTGGGAGGCTGACTCAGGAGAATCACTTGAACTCAGGAGGCGGAGGTTGCAGTGAGCTGAGATTGCACCATTCCACTCCAGTCTGGGCAACAAGAGAAAAACTCCGTCTCAAAAACAAAACAAAACAAAAACCAAACAAATCTAAGTGTACATTTTGATGAACACAAATTTAACCACATACAAAACAAGATATAGAATATGTCATCATCCTTTACAGTCAATTTCCACTCCTATTCCCACACACAGAGACCACTACTATACTGATTTCTGTGTTTTAATTTTTCTGTCACGTCAAGCATTTATCATTTCTTCGCTAGAAACATTCCAGTTCTACTCTTTTTGTTATTTGAAAATATACAATAAATTATTGTTGACTATAGTCACCCTTTTGTGCTATCAGCTACTAGGTCATATTTACTCTAGCTAACTAGATTTTTGCACTCACTAACCATCCTTACTTTTTCCTCTCTCCCCAATACCCTTCCCAGCCTCTGGTAATCATCATTCTACTGTCCATTTCCATGAGTTCAATTATTTCAGTTTTTACGTCCCACACATGAATGAGAACATGTGAAATTTGTCTTTCTGCCACCATAGTTTAGTTTTGCTTGTTCTAGAACTTCAGAGAAATAAAACAAAATAGTACGTACTCCTGTAAAGGAAAATAGAATCTTGGGACTCCAAACTTACTACACCAACTGGAAAGTTAAGCTTGGAAACAGACTGAAGCAAAAATTGCCTTCCTTTTGTTCCCAAATAGATAGCTGTAATTTCACAACCGTATGTCACAGTCTCGCATATATAAACCAGGTTCTCACAACAGTATAAGGTTGCATATCTCCCTAGATGTTCTCCCTTACAAATTGCTCACGAGGAAATTTCTTGTGGGGCCCCAAATCTTTCAAAATACATAATCCCCCTATAAACTAGCCCGGAAACAGAGTTCTGTTAAATCTCACCCTGACAATTTCAATTACCAGCTTATCTTCACAGTCATGCAACAAGGACCAGGGTAAAAATCATCCCTCTGCCCACCCCCAGATGAATACACATCTCAGCTTATCATGTGTTTACTTTATCTCATGTAAAATGTAGATTTACAGAGCAGGAGATGAATGCACAATTGACTTTTTACTCCCACTTTTCACAAGTAAAACGTAGATTTACTGATTGTTAATCAAAGCCTCTCAAGACTGTAACCACTTGCCTCATTGCCTACTGATTTCGTTTGGATGTTTGTCCCCTCCAAGTCTCGTGTTGAAATGTGATCCTCAGTGTTGGAGGTGGGGCCAGATGGGAGGGTTTTGGGTCATGGGGATAGATCCCTCATGAATGGCTTGGTGCCCTCCCCAGGGTAATGAGGGAGTGCTCGCTGTATTAGTTACCATGAGATCTGATTGATAAAATATCTAGTGTCTTTCTCACTCCCTTTCTCACCATGTGACATACCTGCTCTCTCTTCACCTTCAGCCATGAGTAAAAGCTTCCTGAGGTCTTACTGGAAGCAGCTGCAAGTGCCATGCTTGTATGGCCTGCAGAACCTTGAGCCAAATAAACCGCTTTTCCTTATAAATTAACCAGGTATTCCTCATAGCAATGCAAGACAGACTAATACATCTAACCCTCCTTCCTTTTGTTTTTTTCTCCCTCCCCTCCTGCTTGCCCTTTTCCCTTTATGTACTGAAGTTCTCAAAACCCTCTGAAAAAAGCATGGATCACAGATGCTCTTGTGATTTGTGGTTTTTCCAGGCATGTCTTCAACTTTGGCAAATTAACATCTCTAATGGATTAAGACTCACCTCAGACATTTGTTGGTTTACACTTTTTTGTGTGACACATCTTCGTACATTGTTTAGATTGATTTATGTTGTGTATATCAGCAATGCATTCTTTTTTATTGCTAATTTTCATTTCATTGTATGGCTATGTCATAATTGTTTATCCATCTTCCTGTTGAGGAACATGTGAGTGCTGTCCCCTTTTGACTATTATGAATAAAATTACTATGACTATTCATGTACAACATTTTTGTGGGCATAATATTAATTTCTCTTGGGAAAGGAGTCAAATTGATGTGTCATAGGGCAGATGTATGTTAACTTTATAAGTCTTTGTCAAAGTATTTTAAAAAGTGGTTGTAATATTTTATACACCTGTTAGTAACCTAGGATCCTTCCAGTTACTCCATATTTTAGCCAAAATTTGGTTTTGTCAGTCTTTTAAATTTTGGTCATTTTAATTGTACAAAGTGACATGTACTGATATTAATTTGCATTTTCCAGAAAAGTAATGATGTTAGTTTAGAACATCATATTAGAACATAGTTAGAACATATTTTCCTATGCTTATTAGATATTTTTATATCATCCTTTTAAAGTTGCCTGATCAAGTTTTCTGCTTATTTTTAAAACATTTGTTTCTTGCCTTTTTTATTATTGAAGTATATGAGTCATTTATATGTTCTCCATATGAGTCCTTTGTTAGACATATGTATTAATAATATTTTATTCTAGTCCCTAATTTGCCTTTCTACTTTCTTAACAGTGTTTTAAAAAGAGTTTAAGTCCTTGTTTTATCATGAGGTAGAAATAAAGTAGAATTTTTTGTGTGATTAGTGTTATTTGTGTACTAAGAGTTTGTCTACTTTAAGCTCACAATATTTTTCTATGTTTCCTTCTAGGAGCTTTATAATTCTAGCTTTTATATTTAGAGCTGTGATTTCTCTTTCTGTGTGTAGAATGAGCTAGGACTCATTCTTTTGCCCTCTGAATATCCAACTAATATAGCACAATTGACATGATTGGGAACCTTGGTTGAAAACAATCTCTATATATATATGTATGTATTTCTGGGTTCTATAGGTGTTTTCAAACAATCAGTTTGTCTATTTTTACCAATATTATAAAATCTTGACATCTGTGACCTTATAGTAATAAAATAATAGCTTTTAATGATACCTTTTGTTTTTAAGATTGTTTTGCCTAGTCTCAATATTTTTTGTGATTCCATATAAATTTTAGAATCAGCTTGTCAATTTCTACCAAAAAGCCTGCTGAGTTTTTGATTGAGTAGTGGCAAATTTATAAATTAATTCATGAAATATTTATATCTTAATATTAGAGTCTTCTAATTTGTGAAATATAACACATTTTCTTCTATGTGTGTTGTAAACCCTTAATATATTTGTATTACTTTTACTTTAAATAGCCAATTAACTTTTAATTTAAAAGAAAACTATAAATAACATACTATATTTACCCACATGTTCACAGTTTGCAATAAATTCAATTTTTCATCGGTATCATTTCCCTTCATCTTTAAGAACTTGGCTTTAACATTTCTTTGAGTGCATGTCTGTTTGTGACACATTATCTCAGCTTTTGTTTATCTGAAAATATGTCATTTTGCCAGACATGTATAAATCTAGGTTAAACTTTTTTCCTATCACTTCAATATACCATTCCAACAACATCCAGTTTCCACTATTTCCCATGAGAAGTTAACCACATTCTTACTGTTGTTCCTCTTTAGGTAATGTGTCTTTTTTACTCTGATGCTTTTAAGGTTTGCTTTTGTATCTTTGGCTTTCAGGAGTATGATTATGTTGGGAGGCCGAGACGGGCGGATCACGAGGTCAGGAGATCGAGACCATCCTGGCTAACACGGTGAAACCCCGTCTCTACTAAAAAATACAAAAAACTAGCCGGGCGCAGTGGCGGGCGCCTGTAGTCCCAACTACTCGGGAGGCTGAGGCAGGAGAATGGCCTGGACCCGGGAGGCGGAGCTTGCAGTGAGCTGAGATCCGGCCACTGCACTCCAGCCTGGGCGGCAGAGCGAGACTCCGTCTCAAAAAAAAAAAAAAAAAAAAGGAGTATGATTATGATGAATCTAGCTGTGGTGCTCTTTGTCCTTATTCTGCCTAGGATTCCTTAATCTATGGGTCAGCATTTCTGCCAAATTTGGAAAAAAGAAAAGCATTTAGCCAATAACTCTTGAAATATTTTTTCTGTCTTATTCTCTCTCTCATTGTCTTAGTTTGTTTGGGATATTATTACAAAAATACCATGGACTGGACAGCTTATAAATAACAGAAACTTACTTCTCACTGTTCTAGAGACCGAAAGTCAAACACAAAAGTGCCAGGAGATTTGGTGGCTGGTGAGGATCCAATTTCTGATTTATACACAACCATCCTCTTGCTGTGACCTCACATGGCAGAAGAGACAAGAGAACTTTCTGGGTCTCCTTTATGAAGGCACTGATCCCGTTGCTAGTCACCGAATCACCTCCAAATGGCCCCATCTCTAAATACCATCACAGTATGCATTAGGATTCAACATATGACCTTGGGGGGTATATAAACATTCTGTTTAGCCCTTGTTTCCTTTTGGGACTACCCATACTCATAAATTAGACTTCTTAATATTGTTCCACTAGTCGCTAACGCTCTATTCAACTTTCCCCGATCTTTCTCTCTCTGTGCTTCACTTTAAATTATTCTATTGACCTGTCTTCAAGTTCACTAGTCCTTTCCTCTGTTTTGTTTAATCTGCCAATGAATTACTGATTTCAGATGTGTTTTCCAATTATAATTTTTGTTATCTTTGTCACTGTTCAAACATCTCCTGCCATTCTCAGCTTTTCACTCACTCTGTCAATATTTTCCTATAGACTTTTACATATATTTAGCATAAAGTCCTTAGCTGCTGATTGCAAAATCTGAGGCATTTATGGGTCTGTTTATTTTGTCTTTTTTTTTTTTCTTTTGCCCATTGGACACATTTTCCTGTTCCTTTATGTTGGTAGTATTTTTTTTATTGTGTGATAGAAATTCTGAATCATGTGTTGTAGAGACTCTGGATTCTTTTACTTTCTTATGAAAAGCGTTGAATTTTGTTTTAGCAGGCATTTAAATTACTCATGGATCATCCTAAACTTGCAGAGGTTTTGTTGGGGCAAATTAGCTTCGGTTCTGCCCCTAGTCCTAGGACATATTCCCTAGCCCTTGGATGCTGTCTTCACTATTAAGGCATGGTTTAATGGTAAATTAAAAGTGATACCAAGTCCCTTTACCCTAGCCCTCCCAAACTGTATCTCCCCTATGATAGGCATCAGCTGAAATCTCTTAGATACTTTCAGACTTCCGGCTCTTGATTCTCCCATGGCTCCTTGAGTTATTGCATATGGACCCAGCCAAGTGGGCTGTCTTTGGCCCCTTGTCTTGAGCCCTCTGTCTTGAGCCCGCTGTCCTGAGCCCCCTTTCCTGAAACCCCTGTCTTGAGCTCCCTGTCTTTAGACCCCTTGTCTTAAGCCTTCTGTCTTGAGCCCGCTGTCCTGAGCCCCCTTTCCTGAATCTCCTGTCTTGAGCCCCCTTTCCTGAACCCCCTGTCTTGAGCCCCCTTTCCTGAACCTCTTGTCTTGAGCTCCCTGTCTTGAGTCCTGTGCTTCAAGTGACCATGCACCTCCTTGAAATGTTCGAAATCTCCCTTCAGTGCCTGGGACTGGCTGGGACCAGCAGTGCTGTCTTGGAGAACTATCACAAGCTTGGACTGAGACCTGCATGGAACCAGGTTTTAATTTCTCTTTTGGAGGAATTCTGTAACTCCCTGTCATACAATGGGATTGACCAGATGGCAGAAGAAAGTTTGGGGCTTGTACCTATGGGGACATGCTGGTCCCTGTGGCCAGCCTTAGTTCTCTGACAACATCCTAGAGAGTAGATCACGTCCACTAACTGGTGCAGTATTTCTTTTATGAGACTGCATGAGATCGAGCTGTCAGAATGGTGCTGACACACCTGGAGTCACGTGCACCATGGGGAAGCCCTTAAATTCTTGCCCATGTAATTTCATTGTACATCCTTGAGAAAATAAGTGGCCTTGCTCTGCATCAGTGTCATCAGCATCATCAGTGAAGAGAACACTACTTCTGCTCCCTCCATCTTTCAGGGTGCGTCTGTAAGCTCCTGTACTTTCGTCTTTCTCTACACTCTTTTTTTGGCTGACCCCACCCCCACCCCACTTCAAACACATTCACCACAAGAGAAGGAATTTCTATTCTGATTGTCTAGTGTCTAAGGCATTCCGTGAGCAGCACTTTACTATGCACAGAGTTATAGGACCTTAGAAAGACTAATGAGAGGTACAGTCCCTCTGGTGCTTCTAAAGTAAGCAGAGCCTCAGCAGACCTGGCCAAAGCCCCTTTCCCTACCCTAACTCTGATACAAGTCCTCTAAATCTACAATTAAGAGGGTAAGGCAATGGTCATCTTAGATTATGGAGTGGGTGAGGAAGAAAGTGACTTCTCCTTGGTTTCAAACGTAAGCCAGAACTTTCAACTTAGAAGATAGAAAAACTTGATTGATAAACTTACTGATATTGATCAAGTGACACTTCGTTTCTCATTTGGCAGTTATTTCCTGTTCATGTGTTCTCTCTGGCAAAAAGTGCAGAAGAAAAAGGGATAAATATACATAGGATTCTGGTCCCCATAATCTCTGTATCCCTAACAATAATACAGGAGTTAATAAGAAATCATTTAGGCAGACAGTAACGTAGGTATGGGAGTCCTCAGTAAGGCTTTTCTCTTGAATAAAAAGCAGCCTCAATATTTTTATTTATTTATTTATTTATTTTGAGATGGCGTCTCGTTCTGTCACCCAGGCTGGAGTGCAAGTGGCATGATCTCAGCTCACTGCAAACTCCACCTCCTGGGTTCAAGCAATTCTCTGCCTCAACCTCCCAAGTAGCTGGGACTACAGGTGGCCACCACCATGCCCAGCTAATTTTTGTATTTTTAGTAGAGACGGGGTTTCACCATCTTGGCCAGGCTGGTCTTGAACTTGTGACCTTGTGATCCACCTTCAGCCTCCCAAAGTGCTGGGATTATAGGTGTGAGCCACCGCACCTGGCCCCTAAATCATTTTCTAACAAAAAGTATCCTGTAAAGTTGAGCTGCAGTCAAAGACAAGCAAACTGAGAGCTTGCACGGGGGAATGCTGGCAGGAACTAGGGCCTAGGCATGTTCAGGAAGGCCGCTCTATCTTCCCTTCTCTTTGTGAGCCATGTGTACGGTAAAGAAGAGCAGACAAGATGGCAGGGATCAACCGGAAAGCCTATTTGCATAATAAGATTAGTGTGGGGCCACCAGCCTTCCCAATCCCATGTAAACATCATACCTGATCAAACCAATCTATGAGCCCTATGTAAATCAGACATTGCCTCCTCAAACCTGACTATAAAGCTGAGCCCATCCACCACCCACCGGTCCTTTACGCTCAGAGACCCCTTTCTCTATAGAGAAAGCTGTTTCTCTTTCTCTTCTGTTCTGCCTATTAAACGTCTGCTCCTAAATTCCTCACGTGTGTCTGCGTCCTCAATTTTCCTGGTGTGTGATGAAGAACCCCAGGGTATATACCCCAGACAACATAGGCACTTCAACAATTGTTATCATTCAATATTCAGTAATATCCATTTATTTTAGTTATTTGAAAAAGTTAAATAAACAGTTCTTAACTGTGGCTGATTTTGTTCCTCAAGGGACATTTGGTAATATCTGGAGACATGTTCAATTGTCATGCCTGGAGGCTGCTACTAGTAAGCATCTAGTGAATAGGAGCCAGGGATGCTGCTAAACATCCTATAATCAATGGGACAGTCCCCCACAGCAAGTACTAGGCTCAAAATGTCAGTAATGCTGACACTGAGAAACTCAAGAGTTAAATGAATCAAAACAAGGCTGTCATTTTGAATGTGTTTTCCCTTCTGTATTTTACAAAAGAAAAATTTTTAATTATTTTATTCTAAAACATTTGCAAAGAGAATTTCAGTGGCAATGAAATAAAGTTTAAAAAAGATGGAAAAAAATAAGATAAAATCTACAATGTGTTTAGTACATAAAATATATGCTGGACCCTTTGGTATACTTTCTATGATTAGGTTACCTAATCGTCTTTTATTTTTGTAGCATTATTTATGACAGTAACATCATTCTCACAGCCCAATCTCAAATCAGGTAACTTAAATCAGGGAATATTATGACATTTTATGACATCATATAAACAACAGTGAACACTACTTTTGGAGGTTCTAATTTGTAAAACAAATTAATTTAGGTATGCAAAACAAAATTATTGAAATTATTGAAATTCAGCACAGATCGTTAATTTGTCAAAAGATCATTTATTCCATTTGAAATTTCAAAATATCAACTGGAGAGTAAGTAATAAAATAGTGGAGTTTCTTCACTCTTTTATTACTGTTCTCACCACTGTTATATTAAATAATGAATTTGACCTTTGATTGTTTAACTAGTACTCTAAAGCATCATACTTTGTATGTACTATTTGGTTAAATTGTCTTCAGCATAAGAAGAAACCATGAAAGGTTCCTTTTACCATTCTGTGTTTAAAGTGAACTTAAATTGGCAACCCCCTTAACACATTCAATAGCTTTCTTTAAATTGTATTTCTTAGGTTTGAGAGAAAGATGTGGAGGAGGGAATCAATAGAAACTACACTGGAAACATTAGTAATTCCACAATAAATCTCCAGTTGTTCAGCAGCCTACTAATTACAGGGCCAGAAATAAACCAACCTCTGAAAATATTCATGAACATCTAAAAGTCCAAGGTTCTGTGTCTTTCCATTGTACCCCATGTATTGCTTTGTCAGTAAAGCTCTGCATAAACTATGCAGTGAGTTACTCCCTGAGGCTCTGCTGTGGGGTCAGGGCTGGGCCTGAGAAGAGTGTGGTGGCTGGCTGGCTGTCTTGGGGGCTCCCATCATCTTCAGCTGCTTCCCCTGACCATGCAGTTCATACTCCATGGGATTCCAACTGAGTTCTTTGGACAGAATTTTAAATTCTTATTCCCCTTCCCCCATAGGAAAAGCATTAAAAAACAACAAAAATAGTGCATCTGACTTTTTTACCTAGGGAATACCTAGAGGAGAGAATGATTTAATGAATCAAAACTCTGGTTACCACTGGGGCAGGATCCAGAACAATGAGGTCATCCATGTTTGCCTTTGGGGCTCCCACTTTCTCCTCCTCCTCCTGTGTTTGTGCACCCCTGTGCTCTCTAGAATCATACCCCACAGCTCTCAGAGCACCCCACCTCACAGTCTAAACATCCTCTTCCTCTTCCCTCCTGACTACAGGTGATGGTTATGAGGGCCACGTTCATTGTGCTGCATATAAAATAATCAGGTAACCAGTTTTAGAAGACTGAATTTTAACAGGTGTTCTCCTCTGGAATGACAGACACCTAACTCATAGAAATGACTTGTAATCATGGCCGGGGTTAGGAACAAGGATTTGGAGAAAGAAAGTGCCTTCAAGTCACCCTACAAATAGTGTTGTCTACCCAACCACAGGAAGAGAAGCCCTGGGGATACATTCAGCAGGCAGCAGGTCTGCGGGTTCTACAGCTTCAAATTACTCGAAGCAAATGAGGTTTTTTAGGTAACACTATACTGAGTTCTAAAACATAATTAAAATGGATTTTGTGCCAAATTCTATAAAATGTCAAAATATCTTGCCTAAGTAGCTTTACCAAATCACTCATAATAAGCGTCCCCAGGAATGGGACCCAAATTTGCAGAGAACAAGTTCTAAGAAGGTGTGGTAGATACAGTCATGGCCTTGAAAACTGTACACGTCCTAATTCCCAGAACCTGGGAATTTATCACATTACATGGCAAAGAGGAGTTAAGGTTGCTGATGCAATTAACGTTGCTAATTGGCTGGTCTTAACATAGATTTATTATAGGTTATCCAGGTGAGGCGAACATAATGATAAGGATCCCTATAACTGGAAAAAGGAGGCAGAAGAGGTTGGAGTGATGTACTATGAGAAAGACTCAGTTTACCATTGCTGGCTGTGAAGACGGCAAAAGGGGATCATGGCTCAAGAAATATGAGAAGACCTGAGAGAAGAGGCTCATGTCTCTCATCCCAACATTTTTGGAGGCCGAGACAGGTGGATCACTTAACTTCAGGAGTTGGGGATCAGCCTGGGTAACATGGAGAAACCTGTCCAACAAAAAATACAAAACTTAGCCAGGCATCATTGCTCATACATGTAATCCCAACTACTTGGGTGGCTGAGGCAGGAGGATTGCTTGAGCCCAGGAGCTTGTGACCAGTCTGGGCAACATGGCAAGACCTCATCTCTACAAAAATAAATGAAAAGTTAACTGGGCATGGTGCACACCTGAAGCCCCACTTACTCAGGAGGTTGAGGCAGAAGGATCACTTGAGACCAAAGAGGTCAAAGCTGTAATGCACCATGATAGCACCACCACACATCAGCCTGGGTGACAGAGTGAGACCATTTCTGAAACAAAACAAAACAAAAGAAATATGAGAAGCTTCTAGGAACTGGAAAAGGCAAAAAAAAAAAAAAAAAAAAAAGGATTTTCCCATAGAACCTAGAAAGGAATGTAGCTTTGCCAACACCTTAATGTTAGCTCAGCAAGACCTATGTGAGACTTCTGGCCTCCAGAACTACAAGATAATAAGTTTATGTTGTTTTAAGTAATTAAAGTCACAAGAATTTAGTGAGAATCACTAAATTCCTACAGCAGCCCTGGGAAACTGAAACAGATAGATATTGGAGCAAACAGTTCTGCATAGGAACCATTGTGTCTGAAACACAGGCCTTGAGAAAGACACCCACCAGCAACTTGTTGCTATGGTCTGCAAGCTTAGCCCTTGGTGCCTACCTATGGGATAGAGGAAACACCTTTTCTACCACTCCTAAAGAGTCCTGCAGATTCTGCCTCTCCATTTCCACTGTCACCATCTCAGTTTAAGTCTTTGTCATCTTTGGTGTAAATTTGTGGGGGTTCAGTCAGGCTGGTGGGAAAAATTTTAGTTATAGAGAATATACACAAATCCTATTGGAAAGCCTAGAGGTTTTTACATATAGTACTTGCCTGAAGGCAGCCTTGTCCCCTTAGTTAAATAAATTAGAGTAGAAAAAAAGGAATGTGGGGAGTTTATCTAACTAGCTTGTTTATTCATATTGGCCTAAGACTAACCTTTGATTTACCACAGGTGATTAATTACTTTTTACGCAGGAAGTCCGCAATGTCAATTACACTCTAGTGGTGTTGACTCAAGCCTTTGTCAATTAATCTTTACTGAATAAATGCGAGTCTCGCTGGCTAGCTGAGGCCTTGGTCACAACTCTTTACAGCACTCCCCTGGGAGTCTGTAAGTGGCCTAGACACTCAGTCGAACTGGCAAAGCAGAATATCTGTGTCAGTGTACTTTATTCATCCATCATTGGGTCAGGGTCTGTGGGACAGACCCCTGCATAAATTATTTCAACAGCTCCTTGATTGGCTTCCCTTTTTCCAGCTTTGCCTGCTCAATGCCAAGCTCCATACTTTAGAAGGGGTTCCTTGTGTACCTGACTTACCACCTGAAGGAAATGTCTTCAGAGATGTTCACTGCCCCAGGTAGGGCCCATGCTCCATGTAAGGCCATTGTCTCCAGGTGTAATCATGCCAGGCTCCATTGCCCAATATGTGGCAAGTCAATACATGGAGACATTGAGAATTGCAGCAGAGAAAGAAG